ATTAGTAGTAGAATATTTATCTTACATCATTGGTAAAAATAATTCTAAAAAACTTAATTTTAGGAATAATAAAACTGTTTTGCATCCTTTGAGCCCTATCTACTCATCGGCTAATCTAAGCTTCTAGAAAAGTTGTAAACTTTGGAGTCTTGAAATTATTAATTGCAACAAGCCGGGCAAAAAGTTTCAGCCAGAAAATTAAGGAATACGGTGTCCCGGGCCGTGACAAATCGCCAAATTAAATGTTCCGGTTTGTCATAACTTGTCTCCTGAGTCAGAAGGGGTGAAAAAATCGGTCGACTTCGTAAAATGACACACCGCCCTAATGATTGACCCGAGTATTAATATTTTGAGTGCGAAAGGCTGAAAGACACGCTCGGAATAATTTGAAAAGGAGGTTATGTAAACAACTCAAGTTTTTGAACGGCTTAAGAGCTTCTTAAGAAGTTTATGAAGGGGTGAAGTTTTGAATTTCGATGAGCGATGACATGCCCAATTTTCTTCAGAAGATAATAATTCGTCCGGAGCTGAGATCCCCGAGTGTTCGGGGCCAATTATTTTTACACTGACCTTTCTAGAAGATGAAGCCTTGTTTCCTATTTGAATAAAAATACTGAACACGAAATTAAAATTTTTGCTAAATGCTGATAAATGTAAATTTATCAATTTAAAATAGGCCTTAAATAGGCAGTATTTTTTTCACATCCTACATGCATTTGTAAAATTTAAACGATGTTTATAAAGCCCAGGTTCTGAAGATGATCTCAATAAAGATAGAAACGTTGGCGTGATAAAGAAAATGCTTTTCTAAAACCTACGTCACACCAAACCGCATCTCACGATCTATGAATAATCATTTAGAAAAACGATGTTCAGAAATAATTCTTTTTTTTGGCGGATAACTTGCGAACATTTGCTCCAAATTAAAAATCGTTTTCACCGTTGAATTCATAGTCAGAAAATCAAACTTACGAAAACCTTATCATTTGAAATAGATAGGCCCTTATTTATATCCCACTATCCTGGAGAGTTAGATCAAAGCATGAGTCATGTGAAACGAAAACAAGTTTACGTGTCTGAATTTAGAAAGGTTAAGTTAACGATCTCCAAATCTAACGGTCACTGAATACCACACATTTAAATAGGCCATTGTAGAAGACAAGTCCTTATTGAATATTTTTGATGTATTTTTAGATTGTCTACGATATAACAGTTTAGTTGAATTAGTATTAAACCTAGGTGTATTTGTCTTTTATGTAGACGTGTGCTTAGCAAAATTGGTAAAGTAAGTGTGAAGGACAGACTGGTCGGTCGATCGGTCGATCCTAGTAAATTCATTGTTGACACTGGGGTCCTTTTTTACCAAGAACTGCTGCTTCTGGAACATTCTGGGTTTTGCAAATTCTGTGTATAAAAAAATGTGATTCAATCTTAAACTTCTATTGCGAGTGCGCTCCCTATTTGTGTTATTCTAATTGATCAGTTATTTACTCCAAAATGGATAGGTGGCTGAATTCAGGATCTCTGGGAAAGCACAGAGATCACCTCCACAGGTAGGAAAGCGCCGAGTAGGAGTTACTGAGGCGGAAGTACAACCTGTCGATGAGGACTTTAGTGACGACAAGCCAAATGAAGGACACCATTCAGATGACGCACCTAAGAACGATCTAGCATGCTCAAATTCTTCAAGTCTCCGATAGGTGCGGGTCAAAGCGCTAGTGGAAGCGCAATTTCTTAAAAAAGAAAATACCACTCCTACTTAGATTAGGGATTTGTAGAGGCTGACGAGGGTAAAGCTCAATGTGTGATTTGCGCGAAAGTCCTTCAATTTCAAACAGTTCTATGGTTACAGTTAAATGGTGTCGTCATTTGAGTTAATGGTACACATCCCGATCTCCGGGAGAAACAGACTGATTTTTTCATGAGGAAGCACACTGTACTGCCTGCTTTTCAAACCTTCATGGGAAAACTGTTAATGAAAACTCACGAAAAGCGTCTTACTTGATAAATTATCGAATGGCGCTGAAACCCTCATAAAACCGTGGGTTAACGATATTTTATCTTGCATGCTTCAAGAAAAAAGCAGTAAAAATACATGTTCGGTGCAATTATCAAACAATACTGTCTAAAGATTGATACTTGTTGATGTTACCTATTTTGATTAGCAGTTATATCAGTGTCTCTACTGGGTAAATCAATGCTTATATGCCTACATAAAGAAACAGGAATACTTTTTACTCTAACACCAGTTCAAACAAACTGCTACATCTTTCATATTTTAAAAATTCATAAAAACACTAAAAATATTCAATGAGGACTTGTTTGCAAGCTCTTTTTAATTGTGACCTATAACGGTGTCAGCTTGTACGAAGACTTCACCAAAAACATGGTTGAACATATGTACATGAGAATTAACACCAATTCAGCAAAGTTGCTATATCTTAGAAAAACCATAGAAACATAAATAAATATTCAATAACGACTTATCTTTCACAAAGAACTATTTCGATATTGAGCAATCGCGTTGTGTCAACTCGTGTAAACTCCATCAAAAACAAGTATACTTTAGTTACTAGTTCCACTAAATACTGATATTTTAGAAATACATAAAAATATAGAATGTACAAATATGCAAATATAAAAATGTGCAGGACTTGTCTGTTGCAATGAACTATTTTGATTACAAGTTATGTGAGTGTCTCAAGTGGGTAAATCACCATGTAGATGTCTGCATAAAAAACAAGCACACCTAGTTCAACTAAACCGTTTTTCTTAGAAAATCCTAAAAATATAAAAAAAAATTCAATAAGGACTTGTCCTTCACAATGAACTATTTCGATATCGAGCAATCACGTTGTGTCAACTCGTGTAAACTCCATCAAAAGCAAGTATACTTTAGTTACTAGTTCCACTAAATATTTATATTTTATATATACATAAAAATATAGAAAGTGCAAATATGCAAATATAAAAAAATGCAAAACTTGTCTGCGACCATGAACTCTTTTGATTACAAGTTATGTGAGTGTCTCAAGTGGGTAAATCACCATGTAGATGCCTACATAAAAAACAAGTACACCTAGTTTAACTAAAACGTTTTATCTTAGAAAATCCTAAAAATATTTAAAAAATATTCAATCAAGACACTAGACGTTAAACAACGAACTATTTCGATATCGAGCAATCTATGACGTTGTACCATGAGTGTAAATGGGTAAACTCCTTCAAAAACAAGTGTACTTCAACGTTAACTCTAGTCCAACTAAATATTTATTTCTTAGAAATCCATAAAATATGCAAAGCATTTAAGCGGGGAACACACTTAGCCGATGCTACGCCATGCGACGCTACCCGACGCCTTGCCACGTTTTGGCAGGGTGTGCACATCTATGCGACGTCAATCGCACGCCACGTATAGTCCACAGCGTGTGTCATATACCAGTATCGCAATCGCAGAGCCTCTTTTGTTCTTAAAGCATTATTTTGAGCAAAACCATGAAATAAATTGTTAGTTAAATTTTATGAGCACAACCATGTAATAAATTGTTAGTTAAATGTAATTGTTTTAAATAAATTGGTATTATATTGGTATTGGTATTGGTAGATATTAAATGGTCAAGCGGACCACGAAAACTAGTGAATTTAATAGTTTTAAATAAAGTTATTCCGGTGTTTTTATCAATTTTCTGCCTAGCCATCATAATTAAATAATTTTCATAAAAACTCATGAATTTTTGATCTCGTTTAATTTGATTAATTAAAATAAGAATGTTATAATTAATATAACGACAATATACACGTAGTTTGAATAAAAATATGAGTGTCCGGTTCTTTGTTTTCGACTGTACTCAATGCGACCCGACGAAAATCTGGTCAGTCGGGATCGCAGAGCGTAGAGAAGGTTAGCGTGGTATAGCATCGGGCAGATGTGCACGGGGGTTATGCAAACTTATGGAAAATCGGAGTTTGGATTTGCGATGGGTAGCGTCGCATGGCGTAGCATCGGGTGTGTTCCCGGCTTTATGCAATACTTGTCTGCAAGAATGAACTATTTTGATTACAAGTTATGTGAGTGTCTCAACTGGGTAAATCACCATGTCTTCACCAAAAAGTACACCTAGGCACTAACTCTAGTTCAACTAAACTTTTATATCTTAGAGAAAAATATATAAAATGTCCAATAAGGATTTGTTTGCAAAATTTCTATTTTGAGTACGAGCTCCAATAACAGAATAACGAACAAGTAACAGATTCGCCATCAGGATAGACATAAATTTCCCGGAGAAATATCACATTGCATATATTCAACAATCATGTACAATATATGAAACCTTTATTATCTTTACCATAATAGACAATAGGTATTTGTAAAGAATGATTGATGTTATTGTTGATAAACATTTTTGCAAATGACGATAGAAGCTTGTATCATACTTTTTAAAATTCCTCTTATCCGATTCAATAATAATGCGAATAATATACATTTTTCAATATTTTATTTGTGAGACTGTTCTCTCGCTACAGTATTCCCTAGCGATATTTCGAATGCTGAATCAACGAAGTCCATTCACGTACTGAGATGAAATCTCACTAGGATTATGTTGATGACAGAGGCTCCCCCTAACTGTCACTCTTTCTATCCTTTCCCTTCTCCATTCTCCTTTGCGGTTGGAGACAATTTCAGAGAGAAATGCCAGTCCGGTTTTAAGGGTGAATCCGGGGGTGTGTTGTTTGTCGGGGCGGCTGTGGGAGGGGCGAAGCTTGTAATCCGTTGCATGCTATACTGAATTCCTTAGCTGTTCTTATCGACTTTTTTTATTTGCCTATTTGTTGTCAAGATAGGGAGGTTACACGAAGACAAAAGGAAGGATTAATTTATTAATCGTTGCGCATTCGGTGTTTATTTATCACTTTATTTGTACACCTTTTAAAAGTGGGACTTTTCTTAAAATATTTCAATGCAGTTAAAGCACAGGTTGGGAGGAGGTTCATCATGCGAAACTTAACAACCGGAGGCGGATGTAAAACTAAACCGTCTTCGGAATGAAGGTAATTACACTTAAACCTTTCTCTATTTTACTCAAACGACCATTTAAACCACGAGTAATGGCATAATCCGAGAAAAAACTCAGCAGACTGTTTGGGAAGTATAAATCAAAATCATTACTCTCGAACCGTTTTTCGGAATATTTTGTATATTCTATATAAATTTATGAATAGCAAACGTTCATAAATAAGGAATTTTTCTTTACGTTTCCTTTTATTTCAAAGTTTCTAATCAGAATATATTATGTGCGTTTTCATAGGACAAGTTATGACTCTTTAGCATGGGTCCTCATCAGTTATCGGATATCGCCGATCTTTCACATTGTCACAGAGCATGATATTGATAATTATTATTTAATATCTAAGATAACCTGTAATTTGATTGTTATAAACTGCCCAAAGATGACTAGGGATATTTGTAATTTATTCTTATTCTATTAATTTTAATTAAATTACCCGACATTCTATTTTGTTAGTTGGATAAACAAAATAGAAAATACAAACCAAAAAAATGTTAATCTTCATTTTTAAGAACGGATTTACTTAAGAATAGTAAAGATGAAGATTACTCATTTTGTAATCAAACACCTTTTCTCGTCTTTTCTCCATTTTAATCCAGTTGTTAACAATGGAAACACATCACCATGAACGAGAAGTTTGTAATATTATTGTGAGGATGGGTCATCGAGGTGACAGGCAAGTGGATGTCGCAGAGGCAGTTGGCGTTTCTGAGAGCGTGGTCTCCTGGGCTTTTGCCCAATTCCGAGACCCTGGAAGCGCAATAGTAGGCCTGGTAATGCATCTCAGTACATTACGATGCTAAGGGAGGGCAGAAATATTGCCGTTGCTGCAAGACAGACTCCTTTCCATAGTTCCCTCCAGATACTAAATGAAGAAAAAGTTCTTTTGGCAAGGCACAAACACAAACAATTACTTATTGGCTTTACATCGTATGCCCTTTGAGACGACCTCAGAAATAGCCCGCCGCCAGCACCTCAGGAGAATACTGTGACGCGGGCGCTAGAAGAGAAACCAATTGGAATGTTGTCATGTTAACTGATGATTCGCGTTCCTGTCCGTATAGTGATACCAAGCGCCGAAGAGTCTACCGAGAACAGTGGATGAGTAGAATGCCCTAGTTCGTGTTCCCTTCAGTGCAGTTTGGAAAGGGTTGTGTAATGGCCTGAACTGAGGATTTACACTGGAGGACGAACTGGAATATTATTGAAGGCAACCTCACCGCAGTCCGTTACGTCCAAGAAAATATCGAGGAATACATCCCTTAAACCAGGGATCTCATTGGCAGGATTTTCGATTCCTGGATGACATTGACAGACCTCATGGTGGCAGAGGTTCATCACTGTTTAGAAAACCTGGTAATTTTCCATCTGCTCTTTCCTCCTTTGTCTCCAGACCTCAATCCCATTGAGCACATGTGGGATGCGTAGCAGAGAAAGCTTTTCGATCACCATCCGCAGCCAGTTGACCTTCTACAACTGTCTGCAGCGTTGCAACATCTATGGAGTGAAATTCCTTACGAAATTAGTGAAAACCTTATTGACAGTATGCCTAACAGGTGCACAGTTGTTTTAGCTAACAGAGACATTACACACAGTATTAATTGTTTTAAAAAAATTATTGTGTACAATACACAAAATTATGGAATTAAAACCTTTTATTTTGTTATTTTTCAAAATCCTGGGATTAAAATTTCCTTTAGTGAAAAACAAAATAATTCCTAATAAACTTTAAAGCAGTTTGTAATAAAAATACAAAATTGGCAATATCCATATTTATTTTTGAGCCGGTTAGATCATTTAGGTCTGCTTAAGGTCGCTGGGTTGGTCTGTCACATTCGGCAATTCACCACATCATTGTGTCCCTGCGGTTCTCCAAGAAGCATAATAATTTTAGCATGTAATCCTCATTAATCATCAGATATTGCCCATCTTTCACACTGTCACAGAGCGTTTAATTTACAATTATTAATTAACATTTGAGATTTCCTCCAGTGGTCTGCGAGGTGATAAACCTGTAATTTGATGGATACCGTTCATTTTAGTCTGCTTAATCCTCTCTGGGTTAGTCTGTCATATTTCGTCATCATCAATGGTTACCTGCGATTCTTCAAAGGACAGAATAATAAGAACATCACCTGGACATGTCGTTTTTCTTATTCCGCTTTCTCGAAATGACTGCCATAATTCAATCTTAAAAAACCTAAAAAAAAATTGATTTGTTAAACCATAAAATATTATTTTAATTAAACAAATAGAGATAATGAAACATTAAATGTTTTTAATCAATTAATTTTATTGATAGTGCTATTACAATTTTTGACGAAAAAGTCGTACCTCGTGCTAGCGATGATGTATAAATTTTACGTTTGAAGGAAATTTGATTGATTTATAAAAGAAATTCAAACTGGTTTTTTTTTATTTCTCTCTCCGGAAAAAGTAAGTAATTCTGCCATTACTGAACTGGTCAAATCAGGGCTACGGAAACCAGTGCTAATCGTTACTAACCGTTTGAAGAGGGGTGAATCAACGATCCTCAGGAGATCAAATGCACAAGGGAGATTACCTACCCTTGAAGCTGAAAGAGTAAATTACTTCAAAAAGTAACTCCCATTCCCTTGAACCTGTGTCAAAACCAAACGAAAATCGGCGGGTCGAGACGGCGAATTCACTGTGGAAATGGCGTGAGATGCCAACTCATGCAAACTATTGTGTACATGACAAAGTCTAATAACCTTGATCCGTATACAAAAAAAAACCCTTATAAGAATCATTTCTTTGCAGGACTTTGTTGCAAAATATAATAATATAAATGCCATTGTTAAATATTTGCTTTGTACTTCGTGAAACACGGTACAAACAAGCGTCATTAGACTTAATTGCAAGGGATTTGTTTCAGTGTGCCAGTAGGACAAATAAATGCAGCATGAAAGAGGATAATATAAATTAATGATTACTGTATTTAATCGCATTCGTTTGACCTAAAAACGCTCAATTATTTAATAGGTGTTTGACGTCTTTAAAATATTAACGTGTTTAATAAAGTATAAACATATTTAAAATATAATAAAGTAATATTCTGCAACCCAGGCGAAATCGACTACACCACTAAGCCCCTCGAACATAGGTCGAAGTTGTTATTTTTGTCGAAGTTATCTATATTTTTTACTTACATGTACAGGGTGTTCGGCTACTCGTGTTGAAAACCTGGCCGGTAGGTTGTACATTCAAACTCGAATCAAAAAGTCCTAATTAACTATGGTCCGAATCTAAACAGTTTCGGAGTTATTTCACTTTTTCTGATTTTTTAAGATTTCACGATCTTGCTTCAAATAAACAATGATAACTCCAAAATCAAAAAAAAAGGTTTTGGACAAATCCGTTGATACCTACGTTAAACTTTTAATAAGATGTGATCAACACTAAACTTGTAAACGTCGTGAAATAAGCGTTTTAGTAGCCAGAAATTTGAAAAATAATTCTTTTTTTCAAAGTTGACAAACTTGCTATGGTGATTTTAAACGACTATTTTCAAACCTAGAGACCAGCAAATTCAGGTAACGCACTGGATTTAATATCCTTTTTAGTGGTGCAATTGCTTTTTCAATTACTTTGTACAAATATGAAGAAATTGATGAAGGAAAGGAAAAAACCGTGGTTGAAGGATTGGCAAGGTGAAAAGATTAATAACAATAAAAAATAAATAACTTAAGGAAATTGTGAATGAATTTATTAAACTTTTTGAATTTTGATTCGAAATGCTCTCCACCCTCCGCAATGTATTTTCGACGCGCTGCCGTCGCATTAAACCCGCAAAACTAAGATGTATATCAACGTATTCTTCATTAGAACAAGTAGCCATAGTGTTAGCGTGATAACACATAGATAACTAAAAACGTTTGGAATCTTAAAACATATTAAATGGAGTACGTTTTCTGAAATTTGCTGGTCTCTAGGTTTGGAAATAGTAGTTTAGAATCACCGTAGTAAGTTTGTCAACTTTGAAAAAAAAAATATTGTTCAAAGTTCTCGCTACTAAAACGCTTATCTCACGAACGTTTATAAATTTAATATTGATCACATCTTATTGACGTAGTTTTCAATGGTATAAACGGATTTGTCCAAAACCTTTTAGTTTTGGAGTTACCATTGTTTATTTGAAGCAAGGTCGTGAAATCTTAAAAAATAAAAAAGTGGATTAACTCCGAAACTGTTGGGATTCGGACCAACGTTAATCAGGACTTTTTGGTTCGAATTTGAATGTAGAATCTACTGGCAAAGTTTGTAATCCTGGGACATTTGAAACAGCTGAGAACTTGCCGTTAACACAGCGTCATTGGCCTGTTGAGAAACCTGCCTCATGACGCCACTAGACTGATGAAAAATGTGACTAACGACTGACTCATGACGTTAGCGCGGCGTCATTTGCCGGTTGAAACACACGTCACTAACTTAAAAACTACATTCTTTATGGGCCGGAATGACCGTGTCCATATACGATTTATAAGATGATTTGTACTTCTAAAACACAATTCTCCTCTTGAAATAGTTTATTTTTTCAGTTCAAATTCTTTGTAACTCAATTGTATGGTCTAATTTTGCGAGCGCATAAAATTTCTAGATGAGAACTTATAATTACACCCCTCCGGCGAGACCTTTACCTCCGGCCGAAACCCGAAATAAAAGTTAGATAATAGGAAGGCAGAACAAAAAAAAAATGGCTCAAAACGCTCAACGGATTACTCAAAACTTCCTCCCGCACTTAAGCTTTACAACGAGATGAAAATATTTAAAAAAGACCGGTTTTTACAGCGTTTTCATATTTTCGTATATTTCAGGGATCAAATTTTGTTCTTCAGCGATTATTTGTCAAGCGAGTCCATAGAATTGTTTTCCTAAAATTGATAGTTTAGACGACAAGCTTGACAAAGAAAAAATAAAACATAGAATTGTAAAAACGAAACAAAAAATATAATCGTTATCCTT